AATCCCAAGTCAACTCCAACCTAAGTCAAACACCTTTGAATACCTTTCCCAATTATTTGGGCCTAACTGTAAATTTTGGCCCAATTAATAGTTAACTTGGTCAATTGAGTCAAATTTTGGTTAAACTTATCTTGTTTGGGTCAAATCCTCCAATTTATTTAGACTAGATCCATCCAAGCTTAGTCAAACATACAAACTCATCACACTACACACCTTAAAAATACTCTAATTATGAGCTAGCCAAGACCCCTTGACTTTTACCAAGTTAACTCAATACTCTTGGTCAAACTTCATCCTACATAACCCCATACATTCTCCCATTGACCCTTTTGACTCCTACACATGCTCCAAATAGCCGTCTACACTCCCTAGGTATCACATTGGAAACTTTGACTTTGTTGATTAGTCAAACAAGTCAATAAATCACTAAAACATCTCTTGAATGGTCAACCCTCCTTCTAGGCTCCAAATACTTTGTCCAAAATCCATAAATTTCATTCAGCCAGCTTCCTACATTCCTTCCTTTCCACCTCAGCATCCTTAACCAACTTGACTGGTGAAAGGAGTCAATAAGCACTCAAACCTTCCCAAAAGGACAAACTCAAATGCTATACCATTTTTCTTTGATTTTGGCTGATAGGTTTAGTCCTAAATAAGGGATAAAGCTCTGTTGTAGCTCCTAAACAAAGCCCAGCTCTTGAATTAGCCTTAAATGGAAAAAAACCCCCTCTTACCAAAACCACTCAATGGAAATGAGGTCATTCAAGCCTTTCCCTCTGCCACCCAATAGCATGAGACACATGTCAATGATCTAGGGGAGGTCTCTGATGCATTAGAGCCATTCATTTATCCTCAGGTCGTTTGAATATGACAAAGTCCTCAAAATGAGCAAAATTCTAATTCCATTACCCTCTCACCCCCTCCAGTCTCCAAAAGCCTCTTTTTCAATTTGTTTGAACTCCCCTCAGCATCTGCCTCACTTCCCAAGTGAAACCCCGCCGTCAAAGTCCTACTAACGACAAGTTCTCCGACGAATTAAGGAGTTTTGTGTCCAAGGATTTGTCAGCTCGAACCGATGCATTTTAAACCGCAATTTCAGCTAGGGACTTATACGATGATAATCTACAAGCTCAACCGAATCAAAATCCTGAAGATCTAATGGTAAAATCCCTCAAAAACTTTAGCCCTAAGTCACTACACTTAGGTTTAAATAACTTTTCATAGAGTGCGTTTCGAACGAGCTTTTGGCTCCCCATGATTTCTATTCATATCTTCTAGGTATGTTTAAAATTTCAAATCAAACAATCATTTTGATCAAAAGAAACAGGCGAAATAATGTTTCTATGACATTTTCTTAGTCTCTGCTAGGTGTACATTTTTTAGGCTGTTGTTCGCATAATCAACAGCCTAGATCAAGCTTTTTTGCGATTTCAGTTACCCATGTATTCGATCTCGCAATTTTACCTTCGTTATAGCTTGATCTGGCCCGTTGCATCAAATCACGGAGGATCCAATAAAATTCAAGCCCCGTTAATTGCGGTACCACGTGTGTTAATGATTATCGTCATGAAATCATTGGTCATCAATGTTGTAATTCCGATCCGGTGGCTCTCGTAGTACCACGTATAGCCCCCATCTCCGCGAATCGGATCCGACGACTCAAAATGAGCCACGTAGTGCCCCCAACGTTATTTTAATTAAATAATTTATTAAAATTAGTTTTAAATTATCTCAATTAATAGAAAGTTAGAAAAATTATTAAAAATAATTTTAAATAAAAAATATCCAATATATCAAAATTTTCAAAAAAATTATGTACTTTCATTTAAAATTAGTTTTAATTTAAAATATTAAGTATATTTAAAAAAACATGTTATAATTTTAATAATTATTTAGTTATCTAATTATATATAAATTAAATATTTCCAAATAATTCGAATGTATCATTTTAAAATACTTAAAATAATCAGACATATTATTTGACAAATTTTACTTTAGTATTTAATTAAGTTTAAATTATTTTCTTTAAATATTTTAAATTACTTAACTTACTAAATTAATTAGTTAATAATTAAATAAATATTAAATTTAATAGTTTCAAAACCTTAAATATTATAAATCATTAAAATTTTACTTTAATTATTTTAGAGTAATGAGAATATTTATTCCTTAAAATTGCAAAATCAATATTTAATATATTTAAATAATATAATACTTAACATATTTAAGTATCTAATCATCAACTTTAATTAACTATAATTTAACTATTTAAAAATATAAAATTTAAATTAATTATAACAATATTAATACTTTTTTTATAAAAAAAAGTGATCCAAATTATTTTTAATTAATATTTTCTAATTATTAAAAATCTTGACAATTAAGTTTAAAAAAGTTTTAAATTATTAAGGATCTAAATTACTTATTAAGAAAAAAAAACTAGAGAGAGATTTTTACTTATAACTAAAATTAAAAATTTTATTTTGAATACTTAAACTTATTGTTGAATATTTAAATTAATATAATATATTAAATATTGTCTTGATCTCAAAGTTAATATTAAATTTTAATAATTTTCAAAATCCAAAATACTAAATTTTTAATCATCTAAGTACAAACCTTTGTTTAATTTAAATTTTGCATCTTAAATTATTCGATATATTTTAATTTCCAAAAACTGTATTAAAAAGCTTATTTTAATATAATTTTTATTTACATTTATATAATATTTATATATATTTATGATTATATTTTAAGAGCTTATGTCTATAAAATATAAAAAATAAGGCTTTAGTCCTATAAATGGATGAATTGAAAGGATTAAGTGATTGTATGTATATCCAACATTCATGAATAAAGAAATTATTTTTATTAATCCTTAATTTTTGCCATGCATAAGGTGTCACACTTGACTGACTTACGGCTCTCTAGACCAATAGGATTTGATTTGTTGATTGCGCTGATTATTTATGTTTTTAAGGTTAGTTGACTTTGATTTAATCCAATCAACCTAGTGACACACATAAGCACAAAATTAGGAAAAATAGGCTAGGAGTATTATTAGAAAAATTTTAGGAATTAGTGTCACGAGTCCAAGTAAGGGTAGGAAGCAATAAATCAAGACATAGTGACATTATCCCATTTATATTCAGCGAGTTGCTGGTCTTGAAATCAATAGGAACTTAAGAAAGTAATCAGTATTAACCCTTTAATAAGCCTAGCAATATAATAATTCACAACTAATTTAAATAAAATCCAAAAATTCAAATAGATATCAAATATTCATAATTAACCCCACTCCAGAAATAATAAAGCCATTATGATTAGACCTAATTTAACTTTATAATTCTTAATTTTTTAAGAAAAAGACAATTTATAATTAATAATTAAGAATATTTAAAATTTGAAAAATCGTAAAGATATTGAAAAATCCCTCAAAGGTTGGTGAAAACCGGGCGGACAACGCATTTCACCAAGCACGGACAACGTAACCTCGGAACGAGCGAAGGTTTCAATAGTCGGTCGTGATAGACCCGGATGACGTAATAAATAACATATTATTAAAATTAATAAAATAAAAATATTAGATATAAGTAATGAAATTTAATATATTTATAAAATTTTAAAATATATATAAAATTTATATAACATTGTAAATATAAAAATATTTATAGAAAATACTTATATAATATATAAATTTATAATATTATAAAATTAATGATCATTAATAAATATAATAATTATATAGACAATTTAATAATATTTTAAATTTAAATATTATATACAAATTATAATTAAATTCATTTAAAATAGAATAATTATTATAATTAATATTAAATATATTTATAGAAATATTTAATATATAATATATAAATTTATAATATTCACGGTTGAACCGATCGGTCCGGTCCGGTTTTCAAAACAGTGCATCCCCTTAGGCCATTTCTATTATAATTTATTATATCATTAAGTCGTTAAAATATCTCACTCTATCTTTGAAATAACTCTTTAAGGCCAGGCGTCATCTTCATGTTGACAAATTTCATAAGATGGTCTTTCATTCGATTAAAAGACCAAACAGATGTAAATTTTCAGTCACTACTAGAAAATGAGAGAGGAACCATCCTAGTTTGCTCATCAAAAAAATTTCCATCTTTTATATCCAAAAAAATAAATCAACATTTCCTTCTGGGTTTAAAGGAAAGCATATTCTACAATTTTTTTTTTTTTTTTCACTTTATTTATATTTTCAGAGTGAAACTGAACGACTTTTTTTTTTTTTTCAACTAATATTAATGACAAAAATTATTGCTAAAATTTTTTTTAGGATTTTTCAAATAAAAAATTTCAGTGTTTCATTTTTCTTCTATTTATGCGTTGGATATCAGTACAATGCTGATACGAAAAATTCTAACTCTATTGCCGTGTACACAACAAGGATAAAATTGGATTAATTTCTACTAATTTTGTTCTAAAACTGGCCATGCTAAATGAAAATTTTATTTAAAATCATATTAAATAGTATTAAATGACTGCTCTTACTCATAAATTGCAGCCATCGATCTAGTAGATTAGTCAATACAATCTGTAAGCAACATCAGATCTAACTATTCGTGGAGTTTACATCATTACACAGACAACTTCCAGAGATTTGAACCTGATCGATTAAATCCCATAATTCACAGAATTTAACAAATTCAAGAGGTTGATTTGCTACAAGTAGGATTCAATAAATCTTGTATATTCATATTCAGCAAATTTTTACGGAATTAAATCATGACAAACATATTAAAATTTTATGATTCAAAGATGAAGAGGCACAATGAAGAAAAGTGATTTGGATCTCTGCAATCAAATTCCCTCCAAAATTTAATGCAAAACTATGTGGCTTAAAACCTATTTGGCTGAATCTTGATTAGATCTTGACGGAATCTTTCAGATCAAACAGCCCCTCAGAAAGAAATTTCTTCAAACACCAAGAAAACCATAGATAATTATACACTAAATATATCATTTAAACATCAAACAAGATCCATAAAACAAACCCCTAAACACACAAAACATCTTATACAGATCAAACTCCATTCCCAAACCTTATACGAAACACATCATAATCCCCTTAAACATCACGTAACACTATCATCATCATATTTATTTCTATTGATATTGATATTTACAGAGATCTTGGGATTAATATTGAAATATATATATATATATATAGAGAGAGAGAGAGAGAGAGAGATTCTCTCTCTACAGAACTCTCACACGTACAAGCTCAATCACCATATATATATCAAACTCACAAATATCCTATATACATAGAGAGAGAGAGAGAGATTCACTACTAATCCTCACACTAACTCAATCACCTTTTCACCTTCCTCCACAAATGCTAGCACGCCACCATCCTTCTTCTCCTTTGCATTTTTGAAAATGTAGTAAAACATTATGAGTTTTACAATAACTAAAATGATGATTGCAAAAGCTGCCAGAGCTCTATTATCAAAAGTCATCCTATACTAGCCTGGTGAATGGAACTATAGAGATTGGGTAGCTTTATATAAGGGGCCATGAAATTTTTTTTTTTTTTAATTTTCAATATTAATTCTATATTTTAGCCTATCTACCAAAAAATGATCAATGCTAAAACTAGAGATAAAACCTGCATGGTGACATAATACACGCTTTGTAGGACTACGACAGCTTGACCTGAGGAGCTTCTTTAACTATAAATACTTGATTAAGTTTAATCTAGCAGGATGAGTATTTAGTATAGTAGGGGGGGATTTAGAAAACTATAGCTGACTTAAAAGGTAATAATGATAAAAAAATTAACGTTTTAATAACATATATAAATATATACGTTTCTACTAAACATCCAATCAGGTGGTCGGGCAGCTCGGGCAGGCGCGGGCCATCGAAGCAAGCGTCCGAGAAATGCGGCAACCGTCCGGGCAGAATTCCAATATACCAGGCAACGGCAGAATTCCAATATACCGGGCAACTTAATGAGTTTTTAAACTAATTTAAATAATATGAATAATACTTTTTTTTATTTTTTTGTTAATAATATTTAATTTTTATTTATTTTTTTATACTTTTAATTATATATTTATACATTTAATTACATATTTATTTATACAGTTTCCAGTAACTTTATATATACAGTATCCGGTTCGGCCCGATTCAACCGGTCTAACTATTTCCGGTTCGTTGTCCGGTACCGGTCCGATTTTCAGAACCTTACTAGTTAGTATAGCATTAATCAACATCTTGAGAACAAATAAGATCAGTTAGAACGTGAATTAGGCTTATAATTGGAAATTAATGTTAGTGAGGAACAATTATATGGGGAATTCTTCATAGGATTTCTATCCGAATGAGATCAGTTAGACACAGATTAATAAATAACATATTGAGAAGCATTTCTTTATAAAAAATTTTGTAAATTGTTTTTTTTTTTTCCTATTTGAGTGCATAACAAGATAACATAGGAATTATGATGTCAATGTTATTTAATTCAACTCTCCACAATCACGCATATACTTATCAAACAGTAATATATACAACATATTTTAATAGAGATAAGAGAGAATTATTTCAATAGAATGTGAACAAATCAAGCATGCTAATATTTCAAAATTATTCAAACCTGTGCTAGGATTGTAGCCAAGCAACGTTGTAGAGCCTATCTTTTTCTTCTTTTTTTATGAGAAGAAGTTACTAATTCTAATGTTGTAGAGTCTATAATATGGCAATTTTAAGAGAGATTGTATCAGCGATAGAGTGGGTGATATACTGAAATGGATGCCCATCTATGGATGCTAATATTTCTTATAATCTAGAATGATTCATAGATAAAGGCTTATGGCCGTCTGTCGAGCAAATAAATAAAATATTATAAGACTTTGTAGATTTAATTTGCTGGTCTTGTGGAGGTTATTATTCATAAGCTATCTAGGTGGAAAGCAAAAACTTTATCTTTCGCTAGCAGGTTACAATATCTAAGGTTTACTATTCGGAATACTATCGATTATTGGATTTGAGGCACGTATTGGTTCATTGAGCTTTATGGGTTTTTCTACTGTTCACTGATTCTATCGTTGATGATTGTGGATTCAACTGTTTATGTATTGACTACCATTTATATACTGATTACTGTTTATGCATTGATTTCTGCTTTTACATTGACTCAATGATCATGTGCAAGTGACTGCTATGTTTTGACTGATTAACATGCATATTGCTTCCGTACCGTGCTTTGATTTCAGTTGTAGGTATTTGGTGACCTGCTGGGCTTTTTAAGCTCATTATATGTGGTTAATGATTTCAGGTCAGAGCAAAGGAGCAGGAGTGTGAGGTTAATCAAGATTGTTCAGGTTTATATTCTTTTATTAGTTATTATTTTGTACTCATGACTAGATGGATTTGTGATTTCGTTGAAGTTCCTAAGTATTATAAATGAACTTTTGGGGAATGAATAGAATGTTTATATTGATGTTTTAAATTATAAATTCGGTTATATTGTTTATCATTGATTGATGACTATAGATAGCTCTGATAGAAGATTGATTTAAAGGATCGACTGAATAATTCTTCCAAGTTAGATCTTGGGACATGACAGGGACAACAAAGATGAAGAGGCATTTATCAAAAATGATTTTTAAATTGAAAAAAAAAATTGACCTTCATGTGGGAAGCCATAATAGTGTTCATAATAATGTTAGACGAAACTGTGAGGACTTGATGAAACAGAGTCAGCATATTGATTTTGTCTTCCAAAAACAATCAAATCATGATGTAGTTGCCTATCATATGTGACTTAATACTTCTGTAGATTACATGCAATTTCTTTTAAGACGATGATTGGTTTTTATGGCCATAATGAGTCTTCTAAATAAAAAAAGGATAATTTTCTTGGGCTGGTGCAGTTTTTGGCTGAACATAACAAAGGCATACAAGTTGTGATATAGAAGAATGCACTTTAAAATTTAAAATTAATTGCACATGATATTCAGAAAGATATCACAAGAACTACATCCACTACAATTACTAAGTTCTTAACTGAGGAGATTGGTGGCAGTTGTTTCTCAATTTTAGTTAACAAATCGCGTAACACGTCCGCAAAAGAGCAAATGACAACTATAATGCACTTTGTTAACAAAAAAGCCAGATAATTGAGCATTTTTTGGCATTGCTCATGTTCTAGATACAACAACAAGTAGTCTCAAAATTGCAATTGAAAAACACTTTTCAACTTATGGATTGAGCATTTTTAGAATGTGTGGTAAATGTTTTGATAGTGCTAGCAATATGAGAGGAGAGTTTAGTGATTTAAATGCTAGATTTCTGAATAAAAATAAATCAGCACATCACATTCATTGCTTCTCACATTAGCTTCAGCTAGCATTGGTATTAATGGAGAAAAATCATGTTCAAATTACTTTGTTAGTTACTATAATTGCAAATGTAATGAATATTATTAATGTTTCATGTAAGCGTTGTAATCAGCTTCGAGATATGCAATGAGAGAAGACATTAAATGAATTGCAAAGTGAAGAGCTAATAATAGGTCAAGAGTTGAATTAAGAAATAACCCTTATGCGTGCAGGTGATACACGATGGGGTTCATATTATGAATCAATTATAAGGCTGATCACAATGTTCTTTGCAGTAATTGATGTTCTAGAAATTATTTTAAAAGATGATGTGAGCTCAGAACAAAGAGGCGAGGCATATGCATTATTGGAATAAGTATAAACTTTTGAATTTTTTTTTTTGCCTATATTTGATGAAATATGTATTTGTTATCACAAGCTTTGAAAAGAAGAGAACAATTGCAAATTCTAAGTCTTTGATTTATATATTTAAAATAAAACTACAAGATATGAAAGATAATAATGTGCAGACTTCATCAGTAAAGCAACTTTATTTTGTGAGCAACAAAAAAATAAATATTTCACATATGGATGATAAATAGATTGCTCATGGCCAACCTCATCGTAGAGCTCCATATAGGGCTGTCAATATTTGACACGACACGAAAACCTGACCCGGACCAGACCCAAAAATTTCGGGTTCGGGTCAACCCGAACTCGAACCGGGTCGGGTTCGGGTTGACCCGGAAACCCCAAAATGACCCGAATCACGAACCCGCGCCGCTGCCCGGGTCGTGTCGGGTTGACCCGAACCCGAAGCAGGTCGGGTTCGGGTCCAGGATTTCGACCCGTTTGCCTACCCGGGTAGGGTTAGGATCGACCCGATTGAACCCGGGTCAGTTCCGAGTTCGACCCGAACCCGACCCGTGACCCGAAATTGACACCCCTAGCTCCATATATAACAAATTTATATTATTTTTAGGTTTAAATTATTTATAAGGTTATTGATATGCAACTTCAATAATTGAACTATCATTTTATACAAGCAAATGAGCTACTTTTGTCAATTGCATGTTTGAATCCTAATAATGCATTTTATGCATTCGACAAAGACAAGTTGATTAGAATGATGCAATTTTATCCATTTGATTTTACTCCTTTTTATCAGACGATTCTTGAAAATCAATTGAATACTTATATTATGGATATATGATTTGATGATCAATTTTGTTCATTAAATGATACAGGAAGCCTCGCTGAGAAAATGAACCATAGTAGGAATGATATTACATATTCTCTTGTTTTTAAACTATTGGAATTGACATTAGTGTTATATGTTGCAACATCAGTCATCAAAAAAATATTTTTTTTTTCATGAATATTATTAAAAATCAATTGTGAAATAGACTTGGAAGTCAATGGCTAAATGATATGTTAATCGCTTATATTGAAAAAAAATTAAATTATATTGATAATGAAGTCATCATTCAATTCTTTCAAAATATGAAGAGTGAACGTTATACATTATAAATTTTTTATTATCTTGCATTTAATATTTTATCTTTTAGGATAATAATTGAAAAAAATAAAATAAAATTTAAAACGGCCTATATCGATCCCAAGCCCTGATGAAAAAAAAGTTGAGAAAAAATTTTAAAAAAATTAATTTAATCACCAACTCAATAAATTTTTTAGCTCCGCCGCTGAATTGAACAACAAACACTCCCAATATAGCAATGCGAACCCCCTTATTGGATTATAGACAAGGTCAACCAACCCAAAACTATGCTCACTCTACTTTCAGATTGTGGAATTGAAATAAGGATCAATAAAGAGAGAAATAACAAAAAATTGCTCCATTTTTTCTTTTGACTATTTTTCTAGCACAATAAAATAAGGGAAACTGGAAGTTACTATTTAAATTGTTATTTCTTTTCAAATTTTAAAAAAATCATGTTTTGCATGTACTCTATAATACTAATAAAATGGAGGAGGATTAGCGGAAATTTATGTACAAGTGAATGAACAGTTACCGATCATCTTGAAGAGAAGACCGTTGCCAGACCCTTATCGACCGTTAGTAAGATCGGAGGTCCGTAAGACATTGGATCCCTTTCTTGGCCGCACATGTAAACTCCCTCTCCCCTTGCTACAACTTCACCATCAACGTCGACGATACCACCCTTTGCAGAATCCCCCACACGGTTGCCTGGAACCAGCCTAAATGCTTTCACCTGAAACAGTAATATGAATTCCAAATGGCATTGAAAGATCAGAAAAGAATACTTTTCAGAGAAGAAGATGAGCTGCAGTAAAATTGAAGCTGAAACAAAACTTTAACTTACCTTGAGATACATCACATATGGTGATTTTACATGGCTTCCATTTCCTGTCTTCAACAATATTGAAGCAAGAGCAGATTTGGGGCAATCCTTGATCAAGACTAAGTCTAGAAAGCCATCAGAAAACTGCAAAGCAATCACAACAGGAGTAAACAATAATAATTTCAACCTATAATCTATATTACCAGTAAACGCTTAAATGCAAAATCCATAATGCAGATTAAGCCCACCAGTATGTTAGCTACCCTATAGGGTGTGGTTAGGGTAAATGAAATACTTTTGACAATTAAATACCTTCGCTTCAGGAGCTGGCATTGCGTCTTTACCAACCCAGGGCACATTGACCAGCATAATTGATATAAAGGGGCCTTCCAGGAACCTCCAAACTGAATCATCAAAACAACAATTAGGGCCCTGGTAGCCATGCAAGACGTCTACATCTCCATCCCGTCCTTGTTTAGATATCTCAATATTACCAGCAATGGCTTCTCTTTCGTTCTTTGGTTTACCAAAGGATTCATGTCCAGGAGCGGGTATATACTCAATATTACCATGGTATTTACGCAACTTCATTACTCTCAGAATGCACTGGTCAACAGAAATATTAGAAATAAGTCCATTACCTTGGTCTGGTAAAAATTTTAAGCAGTAATTCGCAAATCAAGAAATATTATCAGTACCAAAGTGAGCAAATCAGGAACAATCAGTATAATCATCAGAGGTTATCAATCTCATCTCATTGAAATTTTAGCATTTTTTTAGTTCAAAAACATCAACAGTTAGACTTTCGAATAAGCTTTACTTTTTAGTGAGTACCTGAGAAATTAAAATGGTTTCTATAACACTGATTTTATTACCCGGATAACTAAGAAAAAGACCCATAGATAGCAGTAATTAGAGCATTGCTTTGTGGAGGAATCCCACAAAAACCTCACACATAAGCAACCAATCACTCAAAGAAAACTTTTTTCTTTTACTATCTTGGTGTCAAATTTTCAAACAAGAAGATGTATGGATTCTTAATTATAAACTAAATATGAAAATTTTGAAAAAGTGCACCCCGCACCACTTTCCCCTCCCCTCATTCTTTCCCTTTATCATTCCTTTTCATTCTTTCGTTCCTTTTACTTCACCGTGTTGAGATGGAAAAAAGGTGGAGAGCATGATTCATTGATCTGCAGTTCAAAGTGATAACTGATCACATGATAAGTAAGCAGTTTTTCATAATATCTACTCATCCACTATGCAAAATATTCTGCAACCCTTCTCAGTATATTCAGCAATCTTTTTCAGAGTTAGCCTCATCATTCACTCCTAACAAACTCTATCATCTCAACCGTTCATCACCAACATAGTTCTGCTTGCTACAACTTTTGTCTACAGCTCTTATGTATATATACACCCTCTCTTTACAATGTAATGTTAATGAAATACAAGGACACATTACTGCAGCAGCTACCCTTTTCTATTCTCGTTTTCTGGTTTGTATTTCTCCTCTAGGTCTTGTATACTCTCCTCGTTAATCTAAAGTCAAGCTCCAGGTACAAATCTTCTTCATGGTCCTAGCTTAATCGCACCTCTTCTCATTCCTATCTCTCTGCATTCTTTACATGGTGAGCTCAGCAACATCATCTGCGAACTCACCAACACCTCAATCGAAACTCTATGATCTAGTTGAAACTTCTATCACCTCCTGCTTAAAATTTCTTATATCCAACATCAAAAACATATTCCAAACTCATCTCACCACTAAAAAGTATCCTATTTGGAGATTACAAATACTGGAATTATTTTCAGCAATAGATTTGATGGCTACCTAACTGGTGCCACTCAATGTCCATCCAAGCAACTTATCTCAGTCGTTGGAGATATCCAACCAAACTCTGCATTTAACACTTGGCATCTTCTTAATCAAAATGTTTCAACCGCCTCATACTCCACCATCTCCTCTTCTATCTTACCCTATGCTTTCAATCTATCCATTTGGCATGAAATCTGAACTATCTTAAGAAACGGTTTCAACCAACAAATCGTGCCCGAGTCATTCAACTCAAAAACAAACTCTACAACATTACCATGAAAGACCTCACCATGTCTTAATATCTCTCCACCATTAAATCTCTTGTAGACAATATGGTCGTTACAACATTGATCCTTAAGTGTCACAACCCAACCCGGAGACTCAAATTAAAGAGGCGAGAACAAACAGTCGAACGGTTAAAACATTTCATTCAAATTAAAAAAACAAACAATATGTCAACTACATCACTTATAAATATTGAAGAGTCACTAACACAACTTACACATTTGAATATTTACATTAACCATATTTGACCTGCTCTCATTTGATCACCGTCTTCAGTAGACATATTCCTCTCTTTCAGTCATTTCTACTTATCAGGAGGCTTACCTGAAAATTTTAGTTTAACAGTTTGAGTTTATAAAATAAACTCAGTGGATAATCACACTTGTAGAATAGAGATTTTATATAAAAATAATCATATTCAAATGTCTTTTTTTTACAGTTAATATATATATATATATATATCATTTTCTTTTCATATGACAGAAAAAATATTTTATACATATTTCTCAAATAACATATTCCTTTTCAAATAACATACTCCACCCCTTACACTGGCTCACATTCAATTACTAGAGACAACACTTCTCTTCCAATATCTAATAGTGGTCAAGGCACCTTGCCCACTCCTAACTCTCATCGTAAGATTCTCCTAAATAATCTCCTCTATGTTCTCTCTCTTACATAACTTACAATCTATACACAAATTAACTTGATGTGGTATGATGTTAATCCAGGACTTGTATTTAGAATTTTAACAAAAAGATTATCCAAGTATGTTAAGTGCAAATTAAAGATTGTTCCCAATTTAAGCTCTCGGAAATCTTAGTTGTTAGCTACGACAAGGTAAGCACTTACAACTAAATTAGCAGGGCTTGAAAAAACAACAACTTTCATAAACATCAAGCAAATGGAAGAACAACTAGAATCCCAAGGTTAACAAAGCGATCGTCTCACCTTGAGGCCGCTCTCATTTACCTACTCCTAGGCGTGTTGGGAGAAGAAGAACCACACGGTGGATGAGATCACTCCTAGAGCGAGGGCGCCGTAGATCCGTAGGGAAGAAGAGGTCGGCACGGATCGTGGAGGAGGTGGAAGATGGCGACCTTCAACGATCCAAGTGTACTCTGAAAAATGATCGTCGACGGTCTTGATTAGAGTTGGCACAATCCGGGCTAAATACTCCTCGACGGTGTCGTCGAAGTCGAATCCGACGTCGAAGAAAGGAGATCGGAGGATGTCTACGCGTCCGTGGTCGTCGTATTCAAACCCGAAATTCCATTCGGGAACCTCCATGCATGATTTGAGGAGAGAAAGAATGGTTGTCGCCAAGAGTTCTCCAAAAGGGGAGAGGGGTGGCCGGCGGGATGTTGAGGGAGGGGAAGGCCGGCGGTAGGATGAGGGAAAAAAGGGGTTCAAACTTTAGAAATCTGAAATTGATTTCAGTTTAGGGAATTTAGGAGGGAAAATTTGAGAATTAAATTTTGAAATCCCCAAATTAAGGAGGGGATTAATGCTTTCCCAATGGAGAGACCCCGGGGGGGCCGGCGGCTTAATGAGGGGGGGAAGGATTTGAATAGGAAAACTGAAATAATTTCAGTTTTAATTAAAACCGGAGGGAATCAATTCGAAATTAGGAGTTAAATTTCAAATTAGAAGTAGGAAATAATTATGCAATCAAGAGGGGCCCAATAAGGGGGGGCCAGCGGCATCAATGAGGGGAGAGAAGGCTTAGGGATGAGGTGGCGGGTTCCAAATTTGGAGGATGACTAGGAAATTATTATTTCATGAATCCAATTTCATGAGAGCGAAATTGTTTTCACAAATTAAAACTTTCCTAAAATAGACCGTCTAAATTTGGAAATAATTGAAATTTGAAAATCAAATTTCAATGAGAGGAAGGAGATGGTGGGGTGGCGGTGGTGGAGGGAAAAGGGCGTCGGCACGGTGGTGGGCGGCAGTGGGGGTTTGGCCGGCGGTGGGGAAGGGGTCTAGGGGTCGGCGGCAAGAGCAAGGGGTGGGGAAAATTCGAAGAGTTGGTGGGAGAAGAAATATTATTCCGAGCACTTAAAATAAAGAAAATAATTTGAGAACTCACTAAGAGATCTCAATGGAAGCACTCACCAAGAGAACTCCTTGCACTCACACAGAGAACAAAATGTGGAAATTTTCATTCATCTTCCATCATCCCAAATACAATGATACAAGCCTTATATATAGGCTGACTGAAAAATAAAAGCATAAAGTCTAAAATGCCCTTTGGGCTACAATAGGGGATACATCCCTCATAGGGGTACAAATGGAAAACAAGAAATAAACTAATAGAAAAAAAAACTAAATCATCACAGGTAAAGACTCTGAATCAGGGCCGTCGATCGTCGTCCCCGGCGATGGTACACATGTCGAAATCTGATGCCCTCATCATAACTACTGACAATAACTACTTCATCTCTTTTGATGCCACTAGTTTCATAATTAAGGATGCCTTAACCAATCAAGTTCTTCTCCAAAGTCGTAGCACTAATGGTCTCAACCCACTACAGCATATCACCTCCAATACATCTACTTCAGCCCTCTCAACTCAACCTAGCAACCTCTCTCTCTAGTATGCTCGTCTCGATCATCCACATCACTCTGTCCTCTTCTCATTGGTGAAGAATCTTAAAGTTATCCCTACTTCCTCTACTATTCTTCAATGCACTTCTTGTCTCTACTAAAAACTGTAACACTTCTAGGCCTTCAGAACTTATCCACACTGATGTATGGGGACATTCCCTAGTTTCTTTATTTAATAGATACAAATATTATGTTCTATTTGCGGATGATTTATCCAAATTTTCTTGATTATTTCCAATGCATAGCATTTTATGTGTGGAATCTAATTGTGTTAATCAATTGGGTTATTCTGTTACCTCAGACCTCAAGTTTGTTGTGCTTGTTGGGAGGTGTGGGGGGTTTACCAATGCATAACATATTATGTGTGGAATATGCTTAGGTTCGGGAGCTTTGTGCCTGAATTTTTTTTTTCATACAATGCCCGACACTATGTGCCCGGCACTATGTACCCAATCACCCCAGGGCTGCATAACCGAGCGCCTCGGTGATGTGTTCCCAAGCGTTGCAATGCTAATTGACATAGAGCAGAGCGCCACAACGCTCTGGATTCGACGCAGTATGGCTACAAGTTCGTCGCCGTAGCACTGCAAGTTTGAGCATCGCAATGTCATCAAACAGAGGCTTGAGCGCCGCAGTGCTATAAGACAGACTGAACGGATCTCTTTCTCGTTTTTATGAAGAGTTGCATCCTTTGGAGTTATTTACTCGGCTTTCTTTTGTATTTTGAGTTGTTAAAAATTGAGAACGATGCGTGTGAGAAGAGAAGCAAGAAGAGAGTGAGAGAGAAGAGAGATTTGTACTTATTTCTTCCTATTTTCATAGTAGAATTCTTGGTGTGGTATGGGGCTCTATGATTTTTTTCCTAGTTTTTGTTTTTCCATATTAAATC